AGGAATCAGGCTGAAACATCGCGGGATGATCCCTTGATACTTTCCTCCTGCATTTTAGGTAACTTCCTGTGGTCGTTTCCTGAGTTTTGAAACAGGAGGGAAAGTAGCTTGGTGCCCTTGAGCAAGTCACTGAACTTCTCGGCTTCCATTTCCCAATCGGCAGGACCAGTGCATTGAATAACTAGTGTTTCTCAATGGGGCCAGTGGCAGTGGGGGACGCTTCTTGGGTAAGGGTGACCTATTTACCTAATGCGGGAAGCTTAGTTATCCCTACCTTCACTACTGAATGATGGAAGTCAGGGTGACAACCGAAGATTACCCCCTCCCCGCCGTGCCATATATGGTTAAATGCTTATTAAAAGGATAATTTGCTCCCAGTTGAGAACGCCCTTGGAAATTACCCACGAGGCCCTTTCTTCCAGGCCTTAATGTTGGGTATCTGTTTATCACTGAGAATGGAGCCCAGCCTGGGAATCAGCATTTCAGGCTCCGGGAAGCCACTGGCAGGAACGTCAGTGCTGTCGCCCCACCAGCCCTCATCCTTTGCCTTCTGTCAGTGGAGTGTGACTGCAAATGAGCCACATGCAAACAAAACCAGAGGGAATGGGGAGAAGGGCCGGCAGGGTTTCGGTCGTGGCGGCCTCTGTCTGTGCTATTTGCTACTAAAAACACAGGCAGACTGTTTGCCCGGGGTGCCCGCAGCTCTGGGCAGAGACCCTCCCCTCCTTCCTTAAGTGGGTCACACTGTGGCACCAGGAGGTCCCTCCCCAAATGACAGGATTAGGAAGCAGAACCTCCCCAGCACTGACAGCACTTAATGCCACGTGGGTACATGTTGCTATCAAATTAATGCACCTGGGCCCCAGCTGTGAGGATAAACGGGAACCAATAATGTGACATTGGAGTGAAAAAAGGAGGCTGGCAATGCTACCCTGGAGGGACGGTGCTTAGGTGCTTCTAGCGCTGGGCTTATTCTCAAGGAGAACAGCTCATCCTTACCTCTGACCCAACCTCTCCCTGGAGGGCAGTGTGAACCATTTGGTTATTCATAGTGCCAAGGGCCACAAGGAGTGTCTGGGAGGATGTTACAGAGAGGCCTACTTGCTACTCACCCCCAAGTAGTAGGAGAGAGAAAACTACCAAAGGGGTAGGGCTGATAGAGTTTGGAGAGTTGACTTGTAATGAAGTAATAAAAATAAAAAAATAAAAAGGCTGGGAGCCCTAGTGAGGTCCCAGTAAGGAGGAGACTGGCTGAGCCTGTGGTCTGTCAGGTGGGACTAGCAGATGCTTTTTGAATTGCCCAAGAGTTTGGCCAACCCCTTCCACTCGTGGAGCATCCTTTTATTTTTATGAGCAGGAATATTAGTCAGAGTCAGTCAGGGTTTCCCTGTAAGCCCGCCGCCAGGCTCAGCAGAGGGCGATGTTCGGGCCGCGCCTGTGGTGGCTTCTGCGGGTGGGGAGGGTCTGGGTCTGGACACTGTGGGAAGGAACGCCCCGAGCTCCGCACAGAAGCCCTGCCACGTGGAGGGCAGTCACAGCCCACAGCCACGGGACCCGTTCCCAGGAACCACAGAGTATTTGCTGTTTGGTACAGAGGGGCTGCCGTGCCGTCTTCCTTCAGCTCTTGGGTCAGTGGCCAGGGTCGGTGGTATGTATCACCTGTCTGCTTGCTGCACGCTGCTCCAGGGTGAGCCCAGGAGGACTGCCTGGTGGAAGCCAGGTGTGCTCAGCCCAGGTGGGGGTACAGGGAGGTGCTGTCTCAGGCCCTCATCGCTGTGACTCTGAGGTGTGGTTACAGTGACTTGAGTATCTCATTTGCCCACTCCGGTGACATGCCATTCCATGTTAGGACCCGAGCAG